CGCCGGGTTCGCGATGCAGACGCAGGAGCAGCCCCTGGATTAGTTCGACCCCCACGCCCTGATACTTCCTCCACGTCCCTTTGCCGATGACCTGCTTCGGTGGTACTGGCAGAATTTCCACTCCATCTTCCCCTTCCTACACTGGCCCATGCTCAAGACCAGATACAACGCCGTCTGGAAGGAAAAGACGAATGCAAGGCCGACATTTGATGAACTCTTGTTTTATGCCATCTTGAACATGATTTTGGCCACGGGCTGCCTCCGAAACGAGAATCTACCGCTCGGCCAGAGGCATGAGTACGGAGACGCCTTCTACAAGCGGTCTCTGCGGCTCATATCGATGGAAACCCTAGATACTGCTTCGATCTCTATCGTACAGCTGCTTCTGCTCCGTGGCGTCTATCTTTACTTTGCAGGCAGAGCAGATCGCTGCTGGCTCATTTCCGGCGCTGCAATACGCGTGGCGGTTGGGCTGGGCTTACACACCACGCCCAAGAGGCAGCTCAACCAGCTGGAACGAGAGATGCGCCGACGCGTGTGGTTCGGCGGTTGTATTTGCCTAGATCAGTACGGAGCCCGATCCGAGTCCTCCCTGCGCGCAGCCTAGTAACCAACGTGACAGGATCCTCTCCGCCATATTTGCTCGACCCCGGGTTCATCGTCCCAGGCCTTACCGACACACCTCTTCCCCTCGCCATCGACGAGGAATATCTATCGACCACCGAGGAAGGACGTCAGCCCGACGGCGTGCCCTCGCGTATGGACATGATTCTCTATACGGTAAAACTCCTGAAAGTCGTCGAAGAGATGCGAGCGAGCGCGCGGGCACCGCGCATCAAACTCAGACCGGGGAGTCAAGACATCACACTGCCAGATCCCACCGCTCTGCTCAGCATCAATACCAAAGTCGACGACCTCCTCAACGAACTGCCCGAACATTTACGTGTAGGTGCTGACTACTCCAACTTTCCCCTCAACCGGGAGGAAGTAAAATTCTTTCAAACACAAAGCCACGCCATTCGTTTCCGGCTGTCGCTCTTCCGGGTCTTCCTCCTCCGCCCGTCCCTTCTCGCCGAGGCGCAACGGTGGGCCTCGCGGGATTCCGCCCCGGTACAAACGGCATCATTGGTATTTCAGGAGCGACTCCATTATGAAATATGCAACCAGTGCTTGAATACGGTGCACGAAATGCTGGAAGAGATACACACAAGTCTCGCCACAAGCGGAGGTATTTCGGCGTGGTACGCGCTGCATTGTATGAAAGTATTCCCTTGGTGCCCGGCCGCGATGCTAACACCCCGCATCAGTTACCTTTGCGTCAGCCACCATTCTTCTCGTGGCTACTCTTTCACCACATCTCGGCGTGAGTCTCGAAACAGAGCCGACCAAGTCGTCTTGGGATCGCGCCATGGCTATTCTCGAATTCCACAAGGTCCATATCGCCTCCGCCGCGCGAGGCATCGGAGTGCTCCTCCGGTATCGCCAGGCTATCGCCATGCGCACCGACTTGTCAATGGGTATGTATTACCGCCTAGCGCCCATCACTGCACCCTCAACATGTCCATTGACAAATGGCACAGGCGTCCCTGTCACGACGGCGCAAGAAATAGCCGGCATGGTACCTCCCTCATCAACGTATCCGCAAGCTCAACAACCACAACAGCCACATCACGTCCAACAACCACACCACCTCCAGCAGCCACACCACTTCCAGCAACCACACGCACACTCGCAGCCGTGGGATCAAACAAACACGATCCCTCCTCCGAACATGGGGACATGGATGATGGGACTGCAGTACGGGATGGAGGAGGATTTGGGTGAGTCCTGGCTGACAACGCAGGACTGGGGGCAGCAAAACTGGGTCTTGGAACACTTCGAGAACACCACCGGGATATAGCCACTCATGGGGTGTTTCTGTGTATGCATGTATGTGGGGGGTTGGATGTTCTTCATGGTATTGCTACGATGGTTCCCGGGTTAGCAGGCATGGGCGGAATAAAGTTCAGCGCGCATGTCAAGGTTTAGAGCGCATTGCCCAAGCAACATCACCTAGGTAGAAGCTTTGCTTCCGGGGTGCAACCCCTTCGTTGCGCAATGTTTCATATGCAGAGTGGTTGTTGCTAAGAAGACCAACTACTTTGTTGCGAAAGACCTGGCCATCCCCTCCCATCTTCCATTACACAAGTAACACAACTGTCCCGAGCCACAAAGACCGGAAAGCGAATACTCACTTCGTCATGTCAAAGGCCGCGCCCCGAAAATACCTATACCCCATAAGGCCCTGAGCTACCTAGCTACCTTCCTCCTGGCCGACCCAAGAGTATCCCAAAAGAAAACACCTCCAACTCGTTTTCGCCCTTTCCAAAAGCCTCCCTTCCATACAAAACCAGACCGACCCAATCCGACCCAGCGTAACCCGACAAGACTGGCTACCCCGAAACACTGAAACAACCACGAAACAACTCACATTCATAACCCTCTCCCGCCCAAACGAAAGAGAAAAGAATAACAGAGATCCAACCCCCTACACCAGCCGCCTCACCCACCCCCTCACCCGTCCGTCACCCACCCGGTTTAGTCCTGTGCCCTTGCGCCAGCACCGCCCGCATAAGACGGCTGCGGATTCGCCATAGCCCTGAGTACATATGAGGTCATCCTACATCATGTTCCGCGTCTTGGTCGACGATCGTTGCTCTACTTCGGAATTTGATTTAAGATGTCTTGGTAATTCACAGACATGTTATGCTTTCAGCTTTTTACAATGCGTTCTAACCAGCCGAGTCTATACTACATCTGGTTCCTTCGCCGTGAGGAAAAAACACTGCGAGAAAAAAAATGAAGTTGCGGGGTTTGACGAGCTGGCTGCACCCCACGCACACGCCTGCCTTTCCTGTCTCTTTTCACATTATGTGTGGTAATTGTCTCCCGGTCCTTTTCTATCTAACGCTCAATCAAGCTTCACTGCCAGGCGACCCCAGAATTCGCGGTTGCAGGGGCACCGTCAGCTGCTTCGCATCCACATGTCCGAAAATTTCCAAACCCTCGATGTCCATGTGTATAGGCGG